CCCAAAAAAAAAAAAAAAAAAAAAAAAAAAAAAAGGACCAATCCATATTCATCAACAATCCGATCGTTTCATTGAACTGCATGATAATGAATGAAATCTAAAAACTGACCGACAAAATCGACGAATTTGTTCTTACGAACGCAGCGGCGAGAAACGACGAGAACGCGGGGGAGAATGACGGAGAGATCAGAAGCGGCCATGAAAAAGGGAAGAGGAGTAATTTTGTTGTATTGGTTTCTGATTTCTGTGAAGAATGGTGGGAGGAAATCATCCTTTATAGAAAGAAGATTTTGATGGGTTTTGGATTTATGGAAATAGTTCGTTTAAGAAAAAATAGGAGAAGAAAGGAAATTGATTAACAGCTCATTAAAACCTACTAATTTTAATTAATTATATAAACGATGATAATAATAATAATAATAAATAAATAAATAAATAAATAACAAAAATAGGTCTAAAAAGACGGAAGAGAAAATGGATAGAGGCACTGTAATCGTTGCGCCGCGTAGGCTTGGAAAGTTCTCCAGGTGGTTCGGTGGCACGCGTGGCGGCCGCTGCCCCTCTCTTTTAACATTTGAAACGTTTTCTTATTTATTTTTTTATTATTAAAATCTCATAAAATTTCAAATTTCAAATTTCAAATTTCGTTTTTTTAAATAAAAAATATTTCTTTATTTCAACTAATTGCGATTTGGTAGAATCTTACATTTATTTAATTTTTTAAAATTCTTTTTTTATAAAAAAAAAAAAAAGGAGAAGAGTACACGTGGAAAATGGGAATAGGAAAGAAAGGAGGCGGCAGGGTGTGGTGTGGTGGAGTTCTTATCTAATGTCTAATATTTATTTAACCCCAATATATCTGGTGGAGGCTTCATTTATGTGTATTTATTCATTTTTATTTTTATTTTATCGCTTTTTTATTATTCCAATTTTATTTATTTATTCAATTTCAATCGCAATTCTTTTTTTATATTTGAAATTTTATTAAGATTCATTTGATTTTTTTTTTAAAAAAGGTAGTTTTGAAAATGATTTCAAATAATTCCTCAATTGGTGGATCATATATGATTATTATTATTATTATTTTTTGAAGGGGAGAAGAGGGTTTGACTTCATGCCAACCAAAAATCAAATAGGGATACAAAAGGGTATTAATTAATTGGGACACTCAAAATCAGGAGTCAAAAGGGGAAAAGTTGGAATTGCACTATATGATATATTGTTTGTTTATAAAATTAAAGTATGAATATTATAAATAAATAAATAAAACTATATTATTTTTTATTACTTCAATTCAAATCAAAATTGGATTATTTAGTTATGTGGAACATTGTCAAGTCCTTATCCCTATTCCTCATATGGAAATCTTATAATATGGTCAACTATACATATATCTTATCTTATCAACAAATATATAAAAACAATGCCAAAAATAAAAAATAGACGGTTGTTGGATTCTATATAAGTTGACCTATTTCAGGCGGAGGTTCATGTCAACTTCAATGCATACATTAGTTGATTCTTATAAGAAAATATTGGATTATGTTTATTTTACGAATCAATGTAAGCAAGGTAGTTAGTGTTAATAACGTTGTTGTAGATCTCTTTTACGAGTCGTGTAGCTACAAATGATAGGTTTACGGACATTTTGTGTCATATGATCCGCAAGTTAGGTCGAAAATTATTGCTAAAGTAATATGTTAGTTTTGATTGTACGAAAGGGTTGTTTTTAGACGATTGTGACATGTCAATTAGTTTTGTTGGATTATTCATTTAAACTAATATCTGACACGTTTGATATTAATATTATTATTATTATGTTGTTGCAATTTAATTATAAATATATTATTGTTGTTAATATTATTATTATTATTATCTGAAAACATAAGTGAATGCATGACGGAGTACTGAAAATTTTATGGATAAAATATTTAAAATATTTGACTTAATTTTGGAGATGTTGATAAGTCTGTTCTCACGTGGAATAATTTGTGAGATGTTGATAAGTCTGTGAAAATTTGTAAGATGTTGATAAGTCTGTTTTACGTGGAATATGCTCATTACCTTACCATATAATATGGTCAATAAAATATATATGGAGGCATCTTATCCTACATGAATAAATTAATAGATAGTTAGATATTAATGTCAATATCACCACGTGTAATGGTTGAATATTAATGTCCATATCACACGTGTAAAATACCTCTGAATTATAAATTAATATGAATGTTAAAAGTTTTTGTGGATAATGTATAACATCAACAACTTGTAAAATTATGGCTCACATGTCCACATGTCCAAGATTCGAACAAAAAAAAAAAAAACTTTACAATGTCCAAAATTCGAACAAAACAACTCGAGTATTTTAAGGGTGAAAATTATCCTCACAGATCAGGTTTAGCAATTTGGTAAGTTTCATGAATAGCTGTAGAGTTAAAGTTAATTCTACTCATAGTAAAAATTAGAATCAAAATCATCTTAAACAGACACGATAGAGTCAAAAAAAATATAGCTCAACATTTATTTGGAGTAAGAGATTAAAACCTATATATGATCTAAGTTCGAACTTACAAAAGAAACCAACCTTGAATTACACAGCTTTGTTTTGTTTTGTACATTGCAAACAATCAATCAACACCATAATCTATTGGTCCGAAATGATCAAAACTGAGGACTAAAAGGATAAAGTGATGGTGGTTGCTGTAGAATTGACAAAGCCAACATGGACCAGTGAGACACCCTTCGCTCTCACACCGGAAGCAAAGCCCATCATCCCTTCACTTTGAACTATTTTTGAAGAATATGCAAATGTTGGCCTACTCCTTGATCTTCCTTAATCAAAATAAGTGCTGAGAGCACTGAAGTCCAAATAATTCATTTGAACTTCGATAAGCATCCATCCTTATCATTGATCAACTCTCATCCAATCTTTTGTATTCATTCAGTTTATAGGCAAGCTGTGCACAGTATCAGGACATAACATGTAAACAGAAGGATCATCAAGTTCACTATCAAGTCAAATGGGCAAAAATGAGAGTAAAACCACATCGAATTACTTGTCATCGTAAATTACTTGTTAGCATGAAGGCAATGACAATTATAAGTTCGATGATATTGGGTATAGCAAGGAGAAGAGCTGATTATAAGGTAATAAGGAGATCCTCACTTCTTAGGATAGTGTTGTTTCCTTCTTCCTTTCACTATTGAGATTAAGAAACAAAAGAGAGAGAAGGTAAAAAGAATAATTTAATAAAAGAATCTAACCTTATTAGACATGGTAATATCATTTCATGTAAGACAAAAAGGTTGTTCACTATTGACTATAATAAGGAAAGGAAAATACGTGCCTGAATGGCGCCTGGTAGAAGTCTGTCCAATATCATAGGATCTGGGAATCGTCCTGACTTTTAACTTTGCCTCGGAGCATGTCTGTGAAACTTCCTCGCATAATTCGCCTGAACCTAGTGTCCTCAGCTGCTGGTGGTGGCGCAGGATTTGGTGGCTCAACTGGTTTGGTTGGAGATAGCTCCAAAGGTTCTTTCTTTCCCAGCCCACCATCACCACCAAAGAAACTGCTCACTGATGAAGCAATTCCAAGATGTGAACCCATCACCTTACTGATGGTTTCAAAAGTTCCTCCCGATCTCTCCCTCATTATGATTTCAAGAGCTTCTTTGTGTGCTGGATCCAAAGCATCTAAATCTTTTAAAAGGTTTTGCATGGTAGGAAGGAATAGCTCCCGTATGCTGGTTGCCGATAGGTCTAAGACAAGCAAGCATATAATTGTACATGATTAAATTGTAAAAGTTTCACTTGTAAGTGGTGAATTAATAAAATCATCAATAAAAGAAAGCTTGTGGGCATCCGATTGACAAGGCTCACAAAATGAGACAAACCTGTACCATCCAAAGCACGAATTGCCTCACAAAATGCATCAGCTCTCTCACGGCGACGCATCAATGCACTTGATGAAGGGGGCGCGGCTGAGAGTTGAAAGATCTTGGATAAAAGATGTAGCATGTTAAAGAAACAAACAGGCTATATTATAGGCCTAATTTATAAAATCGCCGGAGAAAGGTTAAACAGTCATAAATACTCATAGAATAACATTCAGAAACCAGAACAATGGCCAAGGATATATTCTCTAAGTCTTTCTGTTGTATGAGGAACAGCCACCACCAATGCACGGACCACAGCTATTGCAGCCTCATGGGATCCATCTTCGAGAAAAGCATCCATTTGAACCCTTATCTTATCCACTATCTATGAGGTTAAAATATTTTTTAATCAGCTACGCCTCAGAAAGTGCTCTAGAAGGTCCAACTGTACAGACAATTTTAACTAAGCAAAGATACATACAATGTCATTCTTAAAATGTTGTGCAACAGCCCCAAACGCATCTATGCTTGCATACTTCACCTTGAAGTTTGGGTCTGATCCCAAAGTAACCAGAGCAGGCAAAATGTGAGCAGAAGCAACTTTTGAATCAGTGTACGGTACCTTGCAATAAATTATAATTGATTTAGCTTTAAATATTGTGTGGAATTAAACAAATAACAAATCCAGAACAGTTAAGCTTACAATAACTTTGAGCAACTTGGCTGCACTGATCTTCATATTTATGTGAGAGCTAACAACCATCTCCCACAGAATATTAAAAATCATACTATGGTGCCGTTCAAATGTACTGCACAATGGAAAGAAACCTCAGAAGAGAAACTACAAAATTTAACTATACATATGTATTTATTCAGGCACAAACCAAAAGAAGCGGACTGCATCAACAATCTCGTTATAACGATTTGCTGACGGATTCTCCTCCTTAGTGCCTTCGACTAATAGTTTCCTCAAAAACTGCACTAAATCTTCGTGTTTACTAGGAGCACCCAAAACACCAGCTAGAAGAAGTGGCAAAACACAAATTGTTGCAAGTCTCTCGCTCAAAATTGTTTTTGGTTTAAGACCTTCAATAAATAAACCACAATAAGACGGTTTAAGACCTATATGTGCAATACTTGGGATTTTTTTTAAATTTATTTTCAAGCCAAGCCAATTTTGACCTTAAACAAATTGAGCCCTAAGCTAAAGGGGGCTGAAACTAATGTCCTAAATAAAACCAAATTAAAAAACTGCCTATGAACTAACCAATAAATCACACAAAATTCAATAATAATAATAATAATAATAATAATAAAACCCAAAATCAAGTTATAAAAAATGTCCAAACCCAACTACAAAAGTAATCAAAACCTAACCACAAAATTAAGCCGCTAAAAAAAAAAAACTCAA